CACACACACACACACACACACACACACAGGAGAGAATGAGATCAGATATCAGTTGCACACTGCCTTTGCTCCGACAGACTGCCCTCAAGCTCAAGCAAAAGTCACAAAGCAGATATTTATCATGGTCAGCTTCCTTTCACATTCTTTGTGATGTACATACACATGCAAGAACAGATCAGATTTCAATCTGGCTGCTCTTTGCTCTCTCTGCTGAATGTATTCTCTCATACACACACACACACACTCACACACACACACACTTTGATTCAACCCCCTACAGGCAGGCAGTTAAACATCCCCCTGGCCCAGAGATCTATTACTAGGTTATGTAAGGATCTGTTAAGCCCACTGCAGTCAGACTTCACAGGGACTAAATAAAGACACACGCACGCGCAACGACAAACACACACACACACACACACACACACACACACACACACACACACACACACACACACTCAATGTAATAAGGCACACTTTTTGTCTGAGGATGTTTTTTATTCCGACAGTTCTGGTGATTCCTCTCTTTTTTTTTTTTTGTACCTCTAAGTGGGTTATGACATAAGCAAGTACAGAAATCATACATAACACATGCAACCAAACCCCATGTACAGAATACTGACCTTTTAACATACACTAGGTATGAGACTCACATATCAACCTCAGGCGCTTACATATACAATTTAAGGTCCAGGATACACAGACAGCTTTAGATATGAGCTCGTACATACACAGTACGTACTTCAAAAACATGTAATCTACAGCGTTTGATAAGATTTTGTTGGTCTTACTAGAAAGAAATCAGTTGTCATGATTTTCAATAATAGTGTCATGGTTTGTCTCATATTTCCTCCCTTTCCAATATGAGCGAACACATGCCAGTTTACACATTCCAGTGCGATAGAAGCACGGTCAGAGGGCCGAGGGTTACAGTGAAAATGAAATCCGCCTCAGACACTTAAACCGTCTCCTCTAAACCGCTCTCGCTAATGGAACGTCTCCATTCACTCAACATTAAAACTTAACTTAAGGTTGCACCAATCACCTGAAAAGTGGATTATACAGTTGAGTGGAGCCGGTGAAGGACAGGAGATGGAAACGAATAAATAAAGAAATAAAGAGATGCATAAATAAAACACCAATGGGATAAAATACTTGGGTAACCACCTGCATAAAAGGCAGACCATAATACAGCATCCTGCCTGTTTGATTCCAGCTGGTAACTGTTGCATGTCACACCGCCTGTCCCATCCAAAGTTTCATATCTTTACTGTCACTATCAGTGAACAGAAAATGAGCGTCATCTAAATTGTTTTACCCCACTAGATCTTTTAATTAGAACCAACATTTTTTAAAACTCGTCTAATTAGATTTTTTTTTTTTATTTACTGATTTTACAAATTGCAATCTGAAATTCCTGTCGACTTGGTTCTGTATTCAGATCAGATGCAGAGTTTCAGCCACAGAAAATCTGCCCTCGAGCCAGAGAGGATGCAGGGTTTCACTCTCAGAGGCTCGCTCTCCATTCTACTGTATATGGCTCTCTGACAAAAAAAACCCTGCTGCCCCGCTGCCTCTTATCTGCTTCAGTCCCCTGCGCTGTGCTTGCCAGGATGTGCGTGCCTTGTGTGAAAATCTGCTATCAGTCACTCCGAGCATTATGACATAATGCAGAGCCCTGTCAGCGGCTGAGTTGAATTACAATCGCCATGTAAATCATTCAGACCATCTGCAAAGTGGCTTCTTGAGCGGCCGCGGACCGTACGAAGCTGGCACCTCTTCTGATGCTGCAGATAGCGAGCGTGAACTCGGTGTCGTGTGTGAGAGATAATAGACAGGATATGAAGATAGAGAGAGAGCGCAGGTAACAGGAGAAAGAAAACAGACAACAATAAAAAGTGTCTTCAAATAACAGCCTTACTTTCATACGTATGTGCCATTGGTATCAGCTCGACAAAAATTCAAGCGCACGCACACTCACACAACAACACACACACACACACAAACACAAACACACAAACAGAACCGGAGCTGGGTACAACTTGATCCCCCTTTGATGTCTGTCTGTGCATCTGTCCGTCTGTCTGTCTCCATCCGAGCTCGTGTTATTAGTTGAACTATGAGGGTCGGTTTCTCCTTGATACATGAATTACATAACCGAGGTTGACAGAGAACTATTACATACTCAACACATGAGCACATACTGGTCCCGTCAAAGCTAAACTCTCCAACACAGAGGGGTCCAGCACCGCTCACCCTTCCTCGCCTCGCTATCCTTCCCCCCCTGCGTGATCCCTCACTCCCATAAATGGCTTTAAAAAATGGCCGGGATCAAAACCATTAGAACATGTTAGACTTGAATTTACAAAACCTTGTCTGTCAACTGTTAGGAAGGAAATTAGATACTAAAACAGATACGGTAACAGTGAAACTGGTCCGGGAAAGGGCCGTCTGGTGCCTTCACAATAAACATATCTCTTTTTGGAGAGAAAATATTTGTGTGAAATATATTTCCTTGAAAAAAATAAGTTTTCCTAGCCGGTGTGGATATCTTTAAATGTCTTGTTTTGTTTTGTTTGTATTTATTGATTAATCATTCAGCTTGACTTAGAGCAGGCAATTATGGCCAAAATAATCAGGTTTTTTTGATGAGTCATGATCGACATCACGACCGCTCCGGACACTGAGGTGCTCTCTCACCTCGCTCTCTCGCCAGTGTTGCATTTTGCGAGATACAGAGAAAAAAAATAACAGCACGTACACAAAGGTTAACGGCCATTTACACCCGGAAGTTCAATGAGCGTCATAATGTCGCACAGGAAAAGGTGCAGTGACAGCGTCTATAGACAAAATAAAGAAGAAGAAGAAAGCAGCACGTTCACCAAGGTGTCAGCTGCAGAGTCACTTGCACCAGGAGTGAATCCTGAATCCATCAATTTCTACTGCAGACAAAATCCAGATGTTATTGGGTGTTAGTGGACAATCCTTTAACAGGTTCCTAACGTAAATATTACAACTGTTACTGAGGGAAATGGCAGGAAAACTTCAAAGCACTCCGACAGTCGCCGATCTTCCTCTCAGTGTCATGGTCTGAAGCCACTTCAGGACTCCGTCAGCGTCCTCGCAAACAGAATCCCCAATGTCATCTGTCTTTATGCTCCACTGTGCCCATATATGGCTCTGATGCACATTTGGGGAAATACTTCTCATCCTCTTGCCGACTTAAATGAGAAGCAGCTGATGCGAAAGGCATGCAACTTAAAGGTGACATCACTGTTCTCCATCTCGCTCTTTCCCTCGTTCACCTTCTCACCAGTGCAGATTGTTTATTCTCAAAGTCACTCACCATAAAGACACGAGGCCCGGGAACGTAACCTTAGCCAACTTACACCACTGCGAGCGAGCGAGTGTGTATGTGTGTGTGTGTGTGTGTGTGTGCTTCAGTCAGAGCTGATAAGGTGGTACGACTCGCACGGCAAATACAACAGCGTAAAAGAAAACACAATTACTGCTCTGCTGTGCTTTTCAACCTTTCACGTTCATGTCAAGTTGCAACAGAAACGCATTTTACCTCAGATGATGTCATAAAGGGCACGAGGTATTGAAACATGAGAAGCAAGTGTCCACAGTCAACATGAAAGATTGAATATCTGTGTAAGAAGTCAAGGTATTCATGTGTAACACCATCAAACAATTCCACTCAAAATAAAATTCTCTGAGCACAGGCAGAATCACGATTCCTCACCTCGTTGAATCGTGTCACCAGGTCCTCCACAGCGTTGCTTCGCTGAGCACTCTGGGTAGGCATGGCGGGCGCCGACAGCGACGGCTTGAGGCTCGGGTGGCGTTTCGTTTGACACTCAGGACTGCCCACGTCTCGAGTGAGGAAGCAGAGGTAGTCCAGGGGAAAGACCTGAAGTTCACACACAGTGCCGGGGTGAGTATTTCTTATTGCACTGACGGAAAAAGATTAATGGCTGAAAATAAACTGGAATTACTAGATTGTAAACAAACTCTACTCATTTCTCATCATCCTTCCAGAATATAGAAAACATGAATCATGTTTATCCAACTTCCTTATAATAATAAACTGCAGTATAACTTGATAAATGTGTAATCTTTCCCTAATAGGTCAATAAAAGTGTTTTTCTTTGTCCTAAATCAAAATGTCTGTTTCTGGAAATCACAAAGTACCGATTTTTTCCGACTTTTCAACCTCGGCATGTATCATATATATGAGATTCCTCGTACCCGTTGGTAGAGCTGCTGCTCTTGCTCAGTGAGGATACAGGCGATCTCCTCAGGGAACTGCACGAGGTGCCGCAGCTCCGCCAGCTCCTTACTGATCCCGCTGACACTGGGAGGAAGAGAGCTGCTGCTGGTCATGCTGCTGGCCAGCTGACGCTCTGCACGGACAAGACGAGAAGAGTGAGCATGAATTTTACATCAGCAGTGGCTAGCAGAGGGAGGAATGAGTTGAACTCTTGGCACGTACAGAAAGACAGGAGGGAGTGCCGCTCCTCATACCAGGATAATAAAGAGGGGAGCAAGAGAAAGGAGAAGTGGGACATTATCTACTCTGATGTTTTACTTCCAGCAGTAAAGATTTAAGCCTCACTGAAATGTGGATGACTTTTTCAGGATTAGCCTGAATGTCACAAGTCTTCTGATCCATCAATCACCTGCAAACCACACTCTCTCTGTCCGTTAAACCAGACAGAGGAAGCCTGCACACCTCGTCCTCTGGAAGTAAACAGCATTGATCAGCTGCCAGTTCCTCTGTTTGGATTTCACTCAGGTCCATTAGTCTGTTTACACACACACACACTCATGCAAACCCGTCCTCATCCCTGCTAACAAAGGACTAATGGAGAGTTTCTACACTGGTGCTCAAGCTGCCAGGTAGACATACAGAACATTGTCGGGATGGATGCCACATAAACGAACAGCCGTGTTCCAGCGCTGGAGCTTTTCCAGGAAACATTGGAGGGACTCTTTGAGGAATTTCACCCACATTCAACTGCAGTAACTCACACATCCTATTTTAGTCACTGGGATGCAATTTCTGGCCTGGACAAGCTGAGACTGTTGGGCTGAGGTCCGCAGCACTGACTGTCGGACAACCTGACGTGTGGATCAAATAGAAATTGTAAATCGCAGAAATCTCCCATATCTGCACGCGTACAAAAATTATGCATGCACACAAACACACACACACACACACACACACACACACACACACA